AGAACGAAGGGCCTGCCTGTCCTCAGCATCGTGTCTGAGCAGGGACCGGGATTTTTACAGGTTCCTCTGAACCAGTAAAGCACTGTCGGACACACCGATCAGAGGGGACCTCTCTCCTGTACCCTATGGCTGTCACTTCAGTAGTGGTACCTGAGATGAAGTCTCTCCCCAGAAGCACCATCCCATGCAAACTCTCTTGCAGTTCACTCTGTGGACTAAAATTACTCTCATATGATATTCAGAGAGTTGGACGTGTCTAAATATCTAAAATACCCTGAAACCTTCCAATATCCTGTCTTTAAAATAGAAGTTTCAGTGGGTCTACCCAGATTTAATGTCTCAGAAATTAAAACTTTAAACGGTTTTGCTGGGGGGAGTAGCCACACAACGCAGCCTCACGGAGCAGTCCGCTCCTTCGGTCGCCCACCGCAAGTTACACCAGAGAAATGAAATTTCCTTGGATCTGTCACAAATTACTCCTGCTGCTTGGCAGAGGCTGAAACAAACTGTCTTCGCTTCATGGCCTGGAATAACCATGGTTATTCCCAACATTTCAGAATATACTTCTTTGCAGGGCGCAGGCTACAGCAGGGCAAGAGAGGGAAAAATTATCAGTTAGCGATTCACCAAACATTTCTGGGCTCCTGACAGACACGTGCTTCGGTGAAAAGATCCAGTCCTGAACAAGTGGGCTGATCTGTGTGTACTGGTGCCAGGGGTTACTTCTGTATGCACTTCTTTGATATTCCCTGACATAAATAACTGATTTTTATTCTAGAATCTAATCTCTTATTATTTTGACATAACTCCAATGTTTAAAAAACTTCTAAAAACTATTCTGAGGGCTCTACTTGTGCACCAGCTATTCACCCCCCACTCCAGTCTCACAGCCCAGGGATATTCCCCAATTTTCCTCAGTCAGTGAGACAGTACAGCACAACTCTCAGCGCAGCCATGGGACCACTGGCCTAGAGAGAGACGTCCCTGTTGATGCTTTCAGGGAGTGACAAGATCAGTATTTTTACCATCCTCAAGGGTCATTTTCTTGTGAGAATTTAATGTTCCTCCTGTTTGTTTACAGAGCCAGCACTAAGGAAATTACCTAACTGAGGCGCCCATCAGCAGGCTGTTTTGAAATGTTTGTGCAAAACGAAAAGAAAACAACAAAAGAATTAATCTGAAGTCATGCTGCAGCAAAACCCGAGAGTCAGTGTATCGGGGAGCAACAGCTTCGCTGCCTCCAGGGGCCTGGCTCTTTGTACAGCACGTGGCTGGGAACGTCTGCGTTCGTGCTCCTATGGGGGAAACGTGGTGAAAAGCATAACAATATTACGAGGAGAACAGAAATCCCAGCTCCAGACAAGGGCACAGCCCTCAACAGCAGTTCAGGGCCTGATCTCACACACTTCACCCTGGCACAGCTTTGATAAAGAGGGAATTTCTGACTTCTTTTTCATGCTCTTCTCCTTTCACTGAGTTGCCTGAGAACTTCTGTTGCAGGGAGAAGGGGCAAACTATGATTTTGCTGGGGTCTACAAGAACTGAGGGCAGCAGGTACGAAGGAGCACCAAAGCTTGCTTCCCTCAAAGCTAACGAGCAGGGAAATATATTTATTATAAGGATCCAGACTCAAGCTAACTAATTGCATCTCTGTTAAAGTCATACTTACAGATGGCCTCTGTAGGGTAACGAATAGACTTTGAAATAGCAGTGAAGTTACTAAATCACATTTATTCTAGGAACGGAACGATATTGCTGGGCAGAAATGCAGTGAACAGGCTGGACGCTGTTTCTGCCGCACGGTTCATCAAATAAATGAGCTCAGTCGGTGCAAGTCGTGCGTTCAGGACACAAACACGCACTAAGTGTGTCTGTCTGCGCTGCCTGGCTGTTGCACGTACGAAAGGATCTTTATATGCGCTGTTTGAACGTGTACTGTGAACCCCAGCGTGTACTTAGAGCTTATTTCTTAGATTAATTACAAGATGCTGGGATCCCAACGAATGTCTCTCAGCCCAGGAACTGTCTTACCACCAGCAGAAGATAGAGGGGAAAAAAAAAAAAAAGAAAGAAATTTTACAACAACAACAACAAAATTCAAATACCTCTTACAATCAGGTCTGCAGCAGCCGATAGCTTGTCCACACTCGTTTGCACCATGCAGACGTATTTCCCAGCATGCTTCAGCTGGATGCTTCTGATCATCAAATCACCAGCTGAATCCTGCTGATAAAGTAGGGAAAAGTGGCTACAATTACTTTTTAATGAGCGCTAAACATCATTATCACATGAAGGACACTGTGACTAATGGATTTACTTTACACTGGCTGATGAAAACATTAGTAATGCAAGCCGTGGCCTATTAAAATTATGTGAGCCTGCCTTGAAGATAAGAGCGGGAGCGTTTCTAAAATTACGGCTCCAACAAGGGGCAGGGGAGCCCCGTTTGGGTCCGTTAAGCACCTTCCCCATTAAAACAATGGGACAAAGCTTATGTAGGGCAGGTCTGCTCCAGTTCCTCCTTTATCTCTCTGGATATCCAATTTATAGCCTCTCTGGTGTTCAGATGCCCAACTTGTGTCTACATCTATTTCGTTAGTGAAAACCAGCCCAAATTATGAGACATCTGCAATAGTTCCACGGCTTTGTATTGCAGCCAGCATTTTGATTGCCCGGCGTTTTTGTGCTAAAGATCACGAGAACAGCACTCTCCAAGGAAATCTTGCATCACCTAACAGCGGTAATTTGTTTTCCAAACGCCAAGTGCATGTCTGATTAACTGTTGAATAGAACTAATTAGGTTTCTGTATGTATAGGAAGCTGAAAACTCTCTCTAAATTCTTCTCCAGACACAAAGCATGCGCTACATTAGAAATCTCAGGGTAACCTTGTGATTGTGGCTTTCTGACTGAAGAATATTAATAAAGTTTGTAATTTTAGCTTCGCAGGCCAATCAGGCGCAGTCGCCGGGAAGAGCCGTCGCTGCTGATGTGCGCCCCAGGCACCAATCTTTAAGTGCATCTTTTAATGATTTCTTCTAGGGATAACAGCAAGGCTTGTAAATTGTATTTCCTTTTCCTTTCAGCATTAAATTTCACTCCTGACAAATGTAAACACGGACCGCCAGTCTGCCTGAAACCCAGCGGAGCACGTGCCTCTGTGAAACCTCCCTCAGAGCAACACGCAAAACCCTTTCCAGTTTTCTACCGCTGCTGAGAATCCGCTGCATTTCTTTCCTTCTTTCTCTTGCTACCTTCACCCAATGAAAGTGGAAAAAAAAATCATCAGGAAGGATAAGAACAGATTTTTAAACTGCAGCTAAGTTAGAAATCGAACTCCCCAAGCCCTGCCTCATATGCGACGGGCTAAATTAGGCGGAATCTGAACTGCGAAGGAAAACATTATGGTTACAAAGGAAAGCAAACTTTTTACCCATCTTGCAGACATAGCCCTGTGAAATCGTTGCTCCTCTCTTAGTAAAAATTATTTGGAAATTATTGTGAGTCAGAAGAATGGCATGAGAAGCTGGGGCAGGTCTGACAGATGTGTTACCTCCTCACGTGAACCCCCTTTCTAACAGACGGCGTCCTGAGGTACCTCCTATAGCACTGACCCTCTCTGGTTCCCAAAACTCATGCCACAACATCTTCAGGAAATCTAAAACTATTAGAAAAGCTGAAACAACCTGCTCTGTACAACCGAGGTAAAAGCAGAGAAAATCAAGGAGGTGAGGACCATCACAGCACCCTTACCTTGCTGCGGGCTCTCCAGTCCCACACCTTCCTGGAGAGGCAGAAAAGGGCAAATGACCCAAACAGATTTTCTCCTCTACTAACAAAGGAAAGTAATTCCTCCCTTCTCTACCTTTTCCTCACCAAACCTGCCACTGGATCATGATCTTGAGCAACAGGGGTGGCCAGGGCTGTATTTAATGAGCAATCTAACCATCATTTCCCACCTGACACTCCTCCTAGCGATTGGATTTCCATGAACGTGATGTTTTCAACCTTCAGATAAACAATTCTCTGGACATTGCAAAAGTCTGCATTGTCCGTGAGTACTGACTGGGTTTCCCACAACCAACCAACCCAAAGATACCAACGTGACACTGCCAGGAAACGTGCACAGATAACACTGAAAGAAATGTCATCTCTGACAGCTGGTGATGTTGGTAATACTATGCAGGTTACTTTGTGTAGAGGAAAAACACTTATTCTAAGCACGTGGTCACAAGAGGAGGACACAGAGACAGATAAACATGCCAAGAAACACTGCCTGAACAAATTTGAGGATATCCTCTGATTTCCCAACTGTGTTCTGCGTAAATACAAAGTTCTACAATTGTTGTATTTTGCATTTCTTTTACAGCCAGAAAAAAACCTGCTATGGACTTCTTCCTTGAACGAGAAGGCAGTTTTTTCCAATGAGAAAACATATGCTAGTTCTTCTGACATACGTCCCACCGCAACGTGAGCGAGTCATTCGTGCGAGCAGAATTAAGTCATGTCATTAAGGAATCGTAACAATTCTACGCCAACGATAACGAAGCAGTAGCAATGTTCATCTTCTCAGTCGATGACATAACATCTCCCACTATGAACTTAGTCAAGTCCAGTCCTTCTGTTTATAGCACTTTGCTGTGTTACCTACTTTTATTACGGTGAGAGTGCTTCAGCATTAATACTTACCCCTCCAACTCTTTCGAAGTGATCCCCGTCTTTTTCGAAGTCTATCAGGTGTCCATTAAATGACCAGGTAAACATGATGTCTAGCGAGTGATCATGAGACACCTGGCAAGGCAAGACAATGCTTTCTCCAACAGTGACATCCATACTGAAAGGTGACACCATAACCCGGGTTGCATCTACAAACAACGTAGAAAACAAAGGTGAAAATAAAAAAAAAGCATTAATCCTGTCCTCCTGAGAAATGGAGACATGAGGAGCTGAAAAAGATCCTAAGCAGACTACCACAGCTGCAGCATTGCCAGCAGAACTTGAAAAATCTGCAACGATCACTTAGGAAGATCCTTAATACAACAAGTGAACAATCACATCTCTGATTTTTTACCCTCTGATACCTTTCTCTTTTTGTTGGATTGAAACACTACTAATAAATCCTCCAGAATCCTCTTCGAGCCACCATCCTGACGAACATGGAGAAAAAAGGCTGGAAAAGAGCGCAGCAGATCTGAAAGGCTGGGTTAAGATCTTTGAAAAAGCTTGGAGATGGGAGATTATTTGAATCTTCTGACTTCAAAGATTTGTTTCACAGTCATACATTGCTCACCACGGTTATCAAAAGACCTACGTTGTTGTTCCTAAATGAAATGCTGCCTTAAGGGAACTCTCTCTATGTAAAATCTCCAAAACTGGAATGGAGAAGGGTGTATTAAAAACATGAGTGGTATGGATCTGCTCTGACCTGGAAAAGGAAAGACTAGACTAACATTATTGTTGTATGTTATGGTCATTGAAAACTCGGTGCTTGTTTAGGGTACTGGCCACGTTCTCGGTCTGATGGATGGCCTTACATTTTAAATCGAGGCAGCTTTCTGTGTGCAAGGAGGGCCCAAACAAAGAGTAAATATAAATGATGAGTGATACCAACCAGACCTTTCACACCATGGAAACCACAACTCGGCCCCAACAAGCCAAGTCCTGTAGTAATGTCAGACAGAGGGGGTTCGGGGTAAGATGTGGCTCTGGGTGTAGTAACTTCTCTGCCTGATGTGCAGCTGATTTGGGTCAGTTAGTACGCCAGACTAACTCACCTCTGTGGCCTTACATGAGATGTCACTGACCCGTTGAAGAAGAACTGAGCAAGCATTTTGGGGAGGTGAAGCAGGAGAAAGGTGAGAAAGGGCATTGTCCTAACCACGGCATTTCCAAAGGAAAGCCCCTAAACCTGCGGGTATCTGCGAGGTACCAAGTTCCATCTGTCAAAGAGGGGCAGCAGCATGTACCAGCTCCACCTTGGGCTTCAGGACTAATCCCTTATTCCCAGCTGGAGTTCACAGGGATCCTTTACCACTGGTTTAATTGTCTGTTTTTCACTTTAGTCGTGCAGTACAAGCAAAATGGTGGCACAGAAAGATGAGCCGTGACATGTTATGCAGATTTCAGCTTCTCATCTGTGCCTGTGAATTCCCTCTGCCTCTAAAGTTAACATTTGTCTTTCATTTCTGTTGACAAAAATACAGTAATTTTTTTTTATACAGGGCCTCAGAGGAACAGAAAAGGAGAAAAAATATTGCTTAACAATGAGACCGAAAGTCTGAAAACCATATACAGACAGATATCTTTCCTTATTCCAAAAGTCTATTCTGCACAGCTGTCATGCTAAACTACTACGAGCACTATTCATTCTCTGGTACATGAAAACAAACTCTCAACTGCTTCTTCCAGAGACTATTGGCCGACTGCTTAATTCTCTGCTAAAATAATAAGGATACAGCCACGAAGATGTGCACTGGGCAGAACTACTCTCTGAAATTCAGGGGATGGGAAGGTGTTCCTGGGTTTTCAAAGACCTTACCACAAGCGTACAGGAGGTGGTGAACAAGATTTCACCACTGACTATACAGACTTCAGATCAAGTCCTCGGGGACTTGGCTGTATTGTCCTGGACAAATGTTCGTTCAGCTATATTTTGATTTCACTTCTAACAAAACAGAGTAACCCTTAGGAGAGCCACAGTAGGTGTTAGGAGCCTCAACTAACTAATATAAGTAAAGCATTTGGACTTTCTCAGGTATAAGCAGTATAAGTGCAGGTTAGTAAAATAACATTTAATTATTGCCTAGACTTAATGACATTGCTTTCGTGTAACCAGGATTTTACAGTCACTTGGGATCGCTGCTACTGAAACTCAAGAAGACCTGGAGCATCCCAAGCTCAGGATGCTACAGAAACGCCTGCACCTGCAGTGGGGCTCGGGAACAGAATCACTTACTAAAATTCCTTTCGGCATCAGAAGTTCATCCTCTGCCCTGCTCAAAGCCTGTATGAAATATTTATGAAGGACTTGACTCCGAGATGAAACGGGTGACTCCCACAAAGCCCGCAGCTCTCCCCCACGAGTCCTGCAATGATCCTGGTCCTTAACCAGTGTCAGCACCGAGGTTTTGCTGTCGCTAACCCTCGCCTCCACGGCGCTTTCTGCAAGTCCACGCCATAAATCTGCTTCTTCCCGCCGCGATGCACACAGTTTATAAACGTACAAAGGATGAAAGATGGGTGTTTGCTGGAGACCTGCCTGCCGGAGCAGCTCGGCGCGGCTCCTGCGGATGCCGCAGCAAACGCAAGTGGCCGGTGCCTCTGAAAATCAGGCCCCCGGGTCTCAACCCCCCAGTCACGTCACGAAGCATCGCGAGCTCCCAGCTGGCCAGCTGATGGGAACGGCTGACACAGCCCGGTGACAAAGGACACGCGGGGAGGGCTCTCCCCCAAGCCACGCTCAGCACAAGCACGAGCCCCCCCTTTCACCCCAAGGAGACGAATGCTCACCCACCTCTTCTCAAGGACTGGGAAAGCTGAAAACCAAACCCATCCCCTCCCCGCCCTTTAACAACCCCAGCAGAGCAGCAAATGGAAAATGTTTTTCCGAAGCCAATTGAGGGCAGCCGAGTGTAGGCACACCTCGGCGAAACGCAGCCAAGTGGTAATCGAAATTATTAGATTTGCATTTTCAAAACCTGTAACATCAGGCACTTTTTAAACTGTGGCAAGCGCTTTAACGATACCAAAATTGTGTTGGTTAGGATCCAAGTCAAAAACAAACAATGCCTCAACGACTGGTTTTTTTTTCTGAGCTAGCTACTCATTTATTTATTGTCCGCTTGCAAGGCAAGAGAGGCAATCTAGGGAGACAGAAACTACGTGAGAGTTGATCTTAATGCTCTGTTACTGCCCTGTCCCCTCTAAGTGCAGGTTATTTTCCTCGGGTGTCAAGGACAGTTAATTTAAAAAAAAAAACAACTGTGATTTTAGTGATATTTTGAGCTGATATTTCTCCTTCGGAGCACTCCGGTGCATTTTGAGACAGTTTTAAAAATAAGGCTGAGAGATGCAGTTGCAGATAAAGGGTAAGAATTTCAAGGAGCAGCGTCACCCCTTACAGCTGCCTGCAGGTTTCCGAGCCCTCCGCAGAGGGAGGCAGCGCCTGGCGCTTCCCGGCTCTCCTTCGGAAAGAACTGACAAAACCCAAGCAAAATCATTCCAGGCCACCTCTGAAAAAGTTCATCTGGCATTGCTGAGGAGTTTTGAGAGGAGAAATGAGTGCAGAGTGCCTGCCCAACGGGAACGCTCTCAGGGGATGAAAAGCCCTCTGTCGTTGGGAGGTAAACAATCTGCTTTTTAGTCTCAACTAGGAAACAGCGAGGGGAAAAAATAACTCCCCTGTACATGCAAACACACGTGGGAGGTGTCCTGGAGGTCTAGCAAACACAGCGACAGCAGATGTGAGCGAGTTTATGCTGACCTGGGCTTGGCTTTGCTCCAGAGAAAGAGGAGACCTTTCCCGCAGAGCCAGGAGAGGGGCAGGAGCAAGGCAGGGCTTATGGCCGGTGCTGGGGTTTATTGGCCCGTGCTGGGGTTTATTGGCCCGTGCTGGGTCTTACCCTCTGCAGACTGGGTAGTGGTTGTCTGTAGGTGTCACTGAAGGCTCAGGGAAGGAGGAAAGCTCCCCCTCAGCCTTCCTTTCACGCCAGCAGTTTCAGGAGCACACTTTGTGTGACAGAAACGGCGCTTTTGTGTTCCATGTGCCGTTCTCCTTGCACGCCAACCGGGCTGGCAGCTCCTGGAGTGGCTCAGCTTGCAGCTTGTTGTCGGAGCTGAGACGGTTTGAGCAGCGTGAAAGCTCACGGGGACGGTCCTCAGCTGGAGCAGACCCGCACTGCCACACGGGACAGCTCTGGACGCCACCGCCATCAGCCCCGGCCTCACAAGCGGGGTGCACTGAGGCTATCGGAGCTTTTCTTACCTATTTTTGTCCGGCGTTACATCCCTTAGTTTTATCGCTGCAGCATGTTGCGGAGAATTTGGTGTATTTCTGACCGATTTAGCGCATTTGATTTACATTACAAGAGACTTTAACAAAGTTTTCTTGCTAGCTTTCAGCTCGTTAGAAGAAACGGAGCTGAGCAGCACTTCCCATCTGTAGGAAGGCTGTAATTGCTTCGCTTTGTCCCTTGTCCCCTGCTAAAGGGAGCCCGTCATTAGCTGTCAGTGCCACCCACACCTCATTTCGGGAAGCTGCGCTGCATTTCCAAGCTGCGAACCAGCAGGCTGCAGCCATCACCGGTCCGGTCCGAGGGTAACAATTACCCAATCTGAAAAGGAACCATCCCACCCTCATTTCCTATCGATTGGGTGTCCATTAGGAGGGATTACTTGTTTAGGGTAAACAGCTTTGCATCGCTGTGCTTGTTGCTGTAGCTCACACGGGGCTACGGCGTGTCCTATCGATCTAGAGGACACGACACAGTGCGACACCACCTACAGTGGCACGACGTAAGTGACATAAAACGAGTCAGGGACTGACACTATCAGGGATAATGTATTTTTTTTAAAAAAAATCAGGTCAGTCCAGAGCGTGCGAAGATCTTTTGGATGATACAGGAGGACCAAGGCAAAGCAAGAAGCGCTGTCACGTGTATCGTGCCCATCAGCAAGATTTCAACTGACCCAAGGATTTTTTTCTGCCTAGAGCCAGGCAGACCTGTCTGCATTCAACAGCGACTCAGTGTCCTGTCTCCAAACGTGCTCATTTCCAGTTTGGCTCAGCCGTGGAGGCTGTGTGCTCCGCTCCGCTGGGAAGGGATTCAGCGATGCTAATAACTGCGCTGCCTTTCACTTAAGGCTA